ATTAATCATGTTATTTAGTGATGTGTTGAAGCATCAGAACACCTCAACAAAATGAAAATTGTAGAAAAAAATTTTAATTTGTTCAGTTTATAATATAGATAAAAATGTATATAGATATATAATTATTTTATGAAATTAATAATTCACGTTCACTAATTATTTTTATCAGGTAATTGATATGTTTAGTCAAGTTAGTGGACAAAAAATAAAATATGATATTGTTGACCGTCGATCGGGTGATTGTGCTTCTTCTTATTGTGATGCATCATTTGCAAAATCATATCTTGGATGGGAAGCTAAGAGAACTTTGAAAGAAATGTGTGAGGATACGTGGAAATGGCAATCKTCATATCCTCAAGGTTTTTCGACTAAGAAATAATCACAATATGCTTATTATGAAATTGCAAACAAATTTTTGTCGTTGTTGTTTATTTATAGTTATTATTTCTTATAAAATGTTTTTGGAAATTTTTAAATTCTGTTAATTTAATTTTTAACATAACATGTATTGTACAATAATAAAATTAAATATGCAGTTTAAATGTAATATCATATTATATCCTTTTACTTTGCTCAYAATAATTTTCTCCAACTATTTTCTTTTCTTAAAACCTGTATAACTATAATTATGTTTAAATATCTATTACAAATCTACAGTCCTCACTGTCTAAACTATTTGGTGTATAGTATTTGATATGAATTTTTTGTTACAACCATTYCCCATATGGGTCTGAGCACTAAAAAATAACATATCCTAATAGGATGTGGGTGAATTAAACCTTGAATATATTGAATTATATTTTCAAAAATGTTAATATATTATAAACTTGTTATATAATTTGGTCCTACACTACAAATAATTATATTTATTTTGTACAAAATTGTCTATCATTGCAAATTTATCAATTGCCTACAATATAAGCCTATATTGCTTAAGCTGTAATTTTGTTGTAATATTTTATTACTTTAAACAATTAYTAGTTCAAAAAACACTTTTATAAAATTGGTAAATGAAAAATTTAGTTGTGGTAGTTCAGGTTATGTCTAACATAACCTTAGGTTCTTATCTAACCTTATTTAGGTGACCCGGTTTATTTGAATTAAGGTGGAAAAAATAGTACCTATTGTCATTCTCACCTTAGTTGTAATACCACAAGCAAAAAAAAAACAATTTGATTCACCTCCATGATTCTTCCTATCTGAGTATTTAGGAAAAAAATAGGAAAAAATGTGAAAAACAATAAGTGAAAATCTAAAACAATCATGTAAATTTATTAAGATAACTTATTAAATACTATGTTATATTATGTTAAATATTTAAACATTTAATAAATGTTTAATTAAGTACTCAAATTACTTGAATCTTACACAATTTGCAGATTATATATTTTTCACCTACATCACAGAAAAAGCATTATTTCCCCATAATTTTCAAGTTCAATCTTGAGACGAATCTGCAGTGAACCTTAAAGGTTTTATATAGATATGACAATATTAAAAATTTAGTTTTGGTGTATGGATTTTGGAAAACATAATAGTAAAAATTAAAAAACTTTTACAAAACTATAGAATTAGGTAGGTAGTACAAGTATGGACTTTATATTCAATTTATTAATAATAATATAATGCTAATTTTTAAATCTACTTAAAAACTATTGTAAAATAATAATTATAATTGTTGCTTTTTTTTAAATATATATTTATTATAAGAACGTTTGCATTATGACCAAGTACCATTCAATAATCAGAGTTAATTGAATTTCTCAATTATTAGATACCTATGATTTTAGAGGTTAATTTTAAATGTTTGTTGTTACTTGTAACTTTCTTAATATCTGTTGYAGGATACTGAACAATTATTATCTAACACGATCATGAGTACATTTATCAGGTGTGGTTGATTTTTCAGAAAATCTGTGAATGAAGAACAATGAATATTTGTCTCTATCATTATTTTAATGTGTATAGTTATTGTACAAAATATAAATGTTTTTTTTTTATTTTAAAGTGTTTCTTACATACAAGGTCGTCGTCGTCATCAAACTTATAAATGTTATAAACTCGTTCAAACTAAAATTGAAAACACTTTTGGATGACTAATAACAATTTATACGTTAATTAAGAATAAAATAAAATAATTATTATTTATTGTCCAAAAGCATTTTGAATTTTAGTTTTGAATAAGTTTAAAATACTTATGCATGTTTTACAATTTAATTGATATTTTTTGATYATCAATTAAATTATTATAAATCATCCAAAAGGAGTTTCAATTATAAAAATACTAATGGATGATTTATAATAATTAAATTAGTATTTTTAATTATCAATTAAATTATTATTATTCATCCAAAAGAGTTTTCAAATATAGTTAGAATGAATTTTAATCATTTAAAAGGGTTTTCAATTTTAGTTTGAATGAATTACAAACATTTTTTGATGATTTATAAAATTATTATTATTTCTAAGTAAGTATAGTTGGGTTTGAACATTATCGTTTTTTATAATCCTGCAACAATAATTCTAGGATCCTCAATGGCAGCTTTAATTTTGCGTAGGAAAAGTACAGCTTCACGCCCATCAACAAGTCTATGATCATATGTCAACGCGATATACATCATTGGTCGTATGACAACCTAACCAATAAAAGAGAAATATGTCATTAATTATTATCAATAACGAAATACTACAGTAATAGATAGTAACCTGTCCTTTAAGTGCAATAGGCCTTTCAAAAATACCATGCATTCCCAAAATAGCTGATTGTGGTGGGTTTATAATTGGAGTTCCCATTAGAGATCCAAAAACTCCACCATTACTGACAGTAAAAGTTCCACCATCCATGTCTTCGACATCGATGGCACCTCTTTTTGCTTTTTCACCAAGAGCAGCAATTGATTTTTCAATATCAGCATAGTTCATATCTTGTACGTTGCGCACGACAGGTACTAATAGACCCTATTTATTTAATGTTAAACAATAAAAACGATTTGTCAAATTGTGCTATTAATATTGAAATGCATACTTTAGGTGTTGCTACGGCTACAGAAATATCTACATAATCTCTGTAGATGATTTCATTGCCTTCGATTACAGCATTGACAACTGGTTGATCTTGTAAGGCGTATGCAGACGCTTTTAAAAATGCCGACATAAATCCTAATTTTAAACCGTGTTTCTTTTGAAAAGCTTCGAGGTTAGTCTTACGGAAATCCATGATCGAGCTAAATTAAATTGTAAAATATTTTGGCATTCTTTAAATATTAATACATTAAAAATTGATGATTACCTCATGTCTATCTCATTAAACGTGGTTAACATAGCATTTGTATTTTGAGCGTCCTTCAAACGCTGGGCAATTCGTAATCGCATACGATTCATTTTAACACGATATTCTGTCCTGGTTCCAGCTATCTCTTTGGTAGGATCAGTTGGTGGTACTTTGACTGTAGTATTTTGATGTTTTAAAGATCCAGAGACAGCTGCTGGTGGTGCAGCAACTTTTTGTGGTGGAGGTTGTGATAATTGTGGAGGAGGTGTAGCTGGAACAGGAGGTGGTGTAGCTGGAACAGGGGGTGGTGTAAGGGGAACAGGAGCAGCTGCTGCTACAGGTACAGGTGTTACCGATTCTGGAGCTGTAGGGCTTTCCTCAACTTTAGGAGCTGTTTTGGTTGGCACAGGTCCTCCTTCTAAAAATTTATTAAAACATCAGGCATGTGAAATAAACTACAAAAAAATGTGTCTACCAGTGATTTTAATAGTACATAAATCTTGACCAGCTTTGACAGTAGCACCATCATCAACAAGTCGTTTTTCAATGATTCCATTGACTGGTGAAGGAACAGGAACTGAAGTCTTAAATAAGTAATGAAAAAACAAAGTAATACTAATTTATATTGATCTTGGTAAAAGTATCTATTTTTTAACTACAAGTAATTTCTCACTTTATCTGTTTCAATTTCACAAACCACTTCATCTACAGCTACCGTGTCACCAACATCTGTAAAAAAAAAAAATATTTAAACTATTAAGCTATATCACATTATAAGAGTCAGTTATGGACAATAACTGCCTGGTCAGGAAAGTTATAATTTTGTACATTACAATGTATATATTTGCACAAGTATAATTGAATAAAACAATATTGTAGAAAGTCAACTACTTATAAATTAAACATTTATTACACTTTACATACTTTTTTCCCATCTCATGTCACCTTCAGATACTGAATCAGCAAAAGCTGGTGTCTTTAAAATGTGCTCTTCCCCTAAAAATAAATATTATATTTTATCATTAATTATGATACTAATTCCAATAAATATAAAATTTCTATGATATATTTTTCTTACACTGGGATGCACTTGTTTGAAAATAGCGACATTGAACAAAAGATGAACTATAAAGTGATATCCTGATAAAAAGGAGTAATTAATACACTGAAATTTAAAAATCTCTGGGTTTAGACTACTCACGGACTAACAGAAGAAGTAGCAATTTTTGACAACCCCCTCCTTGGACAAGCAGTCACATTTCCTCGGTGCACGTTTCGTGTCTCGTTCGAAACCTGGTGGTGTGAAAAAAACAGAAGAGATGAAACAATTAGTTCAACACTAACTAATCATGATGGTACGCCAGTCCTTGTACCATCYGCCGGCAGTCGCGTAACACTTACCTCAAACTGGATCGTCCGTCTGGCGACGGTAGCCGTTGTCTTTAGGGCGTTTTTGAGCTGACCCCTGACGACGTGCAACATACCGTAGGCTATTTCGGCTTTATGCGATCAATCGCTAAACACGTTCGATGTGAGAAGAACAAAACCAGGAGACTGTGTTCGTCAAGTCGTTGGCCTTTGACTTGCCAGTGCAGAAACGATGGAGGGGGCCCGAAAGAAAAGGCGAGGTCAGTGCAGCTTTCGTCTGGTTCCAAGTCCCGACAGCATAAATATAAATTTTCGGGTCACTTTTATCGTACTTTGCGTAGTAGCTTGAGAGGTCAGTTTCGTCGATCACTAGGACAGTAGGACACGGCGGAGATAACAATCGGCGATAACAACAAACTAACACATGTTTTGCGCACTGGTGACTTTTTTTATTCGGCGCGACACGACAACGCGGCGATTAAGTGAAAATTCGAATCGAAAAACGTAAATTGACAACTAATGACGAACCTCGGTGATGGCAAGTTGGCAAATAATCGTACTATGATTATAATAAAAATACCGATTCTCTAAAAAATGGCAGTCGRCAGATACAAATTATAAGCACTTTCGGTGGCTGGGCAACGATGTTTATTACGATGACATAAACAAATTCATGGTCGCCATTGGTAACTTATATTTACAGGCTCACTGTGACACTGTCAACCGCTAAAGACCGCGCTTTATGCTATTAAAATCACAGAACATCTGTGTTTTTTGTTCAATTACTTGGGCGTTGACCCGATTGGCCGTGTAWCGTTGTTATTATATATTTTAATTTTGCTAAATCAAACTGTAAGAACAATGATTAGCCTCGTCAGCGTAAAGAATGCGATTAAAATACTTACAAGTACCTATATCTAAATGTTATGTACTTACCCGTGCCTTAATTATTTAAATTATCTATTATATCATATAATATTATAGCTATTTTCTACATACCATAACCCGATTATAAGTTATAACATACTTATGAACTGATGCCCGTGTACATTGTTGCCCGTTGAGAATATACCAACTCTATATGGTTCAAAATGTGTGTTTAATTCGTCGTTTTATATCCGGCTAGTCATATTCAAAACTTCCCTTGGATTTACTCTATCTTAATCTCCATTAAAGATTTTTAAAACAGTCATATAGAATATAGGACTAAAATTATATTCAATTATAATATTTTATCACATTTTAGATTCTGAGCGGAGCGATGAACGTATATTGATTTWACAATGATTTCTGTTTTTTTATATAGTTTTTTTTTTGTGTCTGTGTACACGATAATAAATTATCGTCTTAAGTTGACGAAATAATTCTTCGAATTTTAACTTCAGTAGCTTTTCTGGTTGGAAAGTGAATCCAGTTGGTGAATTGGGGAAGTCTCATTAGTTTTCAAAACCACCAGGAAAAACAAAAGACAACAATTAAGGAAAAACTGGATTTTTATCMAAAAGCAATTTTTGAGAAAATCGATTTTAAATATTGGTGTAACTCTCAAACAAATTACCATAGACACRTGTAGTTTTCACTGAATGCTTATACTGGAATTTTATATACTTGATAAAATTTTCAAAATATTTCAAATAATTTTAAGTTATTTAAAGACATTTGAAATTTTCAATCTTTTTAGTTTTTTTTTATTTTTATAAATGACAATACAATTTTATTCGTTGGGTAAAAAAGCTTTAACATTTAATATAAAGCTCCTAATATATTGTCACAATGGTAGTTAAAAAATATTAAAAATTGATTGAAAGTTCGAATTTTGACAAAATACGTATAAATCTTGAAAATTTGCGATTCAATTTGAGTTAGAAATTCATAAAACTTCATCTTTTTAAATCCAAGGTTTGAAAATTCAGTAAAAAAATTGTCATGAGTTTGTCTACCTTTATCAAATAAAAAATGTCTATCGGAAAGTCAAATTAAATTTTTATAAGCATTTGAATTACAACATCGGATATTCACTCAATTTCTCTCGTACCGATATTCTTATTTTGTTATTAWTCAAAACAGAATGACTGTAGAAACTTGAAATTTACACCATATGTACCATATGTTTATTTTATCAATGTCTATACTTGGTAAMATTTTCAAAATATTTCAATAATTTTTAAGTTATTTCAAGACATTTGAAATTGTCCGTTTTTTAAATTTTTATTCTATAAATGTCGATAAAATTGTAGTCATTGGATCAAACAACTTGAAAATTTAATACAAGGCTCCCCCTAAGTTTATAAATAGCAGTTATAAAATATTAAAAATACATAGGTACGTTTTTTTTATATCCATTTAAAGTTCAAATTATATTTAACTGAAAATTTACAAATTCTTTGGTTGCTAAATATTTGTCACTATTAATATCAGTTTCATTTGTTATTACTTCCAAAAAATTGTCATTGATATTTCGGTAATTTACATTCAATATCAATTTGTCTTCAAACTTTAGCACATTCTCGTATTCTTTGATTACTCACCGTTCATTTCGAGCGGCTTGATWGTCACGCAAACCTCGTCTGATTAATTCTTTTTAAATCTTTGTACATCTCACCTATTATACTGCACAAATGTATTTTGGTGCATTATGTGTTTTTTTCACTAAAAATAATTATCATAAATCTAAAATTACACATGTTTAAAAATTGTATGAACAGAGATTAATAAAAAATAAATTATAAGTTCATTATACAAGCTGGGATTGTCATACCAGTGTATATAGGTGTTAAGTAGTAGGTAGTACTAAGAACGTTAGCTCTAGTAGGTACTTGTAACAACGTGTACAGACGGATTCCCCTAATAAATAACCCCGGAAAATATAACCCCGAAAAAATATCCCTATGAAAAAATAACGCCAGAAATTTTGAAAAATAAGAAAAGGGTTTATAATTGTACATGACAAAAAATATTATGAAATCAATTTTTTATTTCATTTTTATGTATAGATTTTTTTCATACTATTGACATTTTATTAGATATGACTTAATTACTWAACTTGTATTTTTATATTTACCTATACTTATCAACTTATTTATAATTATAATCTTTAAAGCGTGGAAAAAGTTGATATTTTCCATTTTGTAAATATAATATGTATTCATAATTTTTTATTAGGGGTTATTTTTTCGGGAGGTTTTTTTTGGGAGTAGGGGTTTCGAGGTTTTTTTCGGGGTTATTTTTTCGCGGTACCGTATATAATAGACGTATAATGTGGTCYAGCACCTACTGCGCGCCTGTAAGGGTTAGAAGCGCAATCTGAAAAAATGTGATGTCAAATTAAACCAAACAATGCGAATCAAATAACATTCATATTGTGGCATCGTTAGTTGGTTGCAARAAGTGTTTGCTATAACAATAAACAAAATATAATAAGCTAAATATATAATAATCATTATTAATTATTAATTAATAATTTAGAGGCTAATATAATGATTTAAAATAAATCAGTTTATATTTCACTTTAGTTACTTAAGAATCATAAAGACAAAAAAAACKCCATATATTGACTAAAAAAGTATCATGATACAAGACAGTGAAGATACTGCCCAACCCTGCCCTTTATAAATATGTAGCTGCATCCGAATTGTTTTTTCTTATCAGAAAATTGATATTCTAGTTTTCTCTGGATATCTATTTTAGGCGGTAAATGGATTGTAAATAATTATATTGCTGATATTCTGCAGCATTCAAATTAGTTCCCGATAAAGACTTTCAAATTGAAACATACCTATATTAAATTGTACAGTATGAAAATTTAACCCGTACCAGCATTGGCGTAATTCGATTAAATTTCAGCAGATCCAAARTTTCTATCGCCTATCGGTCCAATAATCATAATKACAAATTAAGTCATATTACTCATATTTAAATATGAGCTAATTGCATTGCTCGCGTGTACTATAGGTATCTTTTTATATTTGATAACAATATAACATATACAAATATCAAAATCTGTAGGTACCTCCTATATTTTAAACACTATATGTGTTGTGTCTGTACTATGATACATTATATATAATAAAAATATAATATTTATATGAAATTAATTAAAGTAATAACAACATTTTTAAATAAGTTAAAAAAAAATTCAACAAATCAATGAAATATAGTTGGTATTGTATTTCGATAGGTACCTATAAAGTTCAACATCTGCAAGTGCAAAAGCATATATCTTTACACGAGCAACATAATACCAGGGGGTGCAAGTACGCCGCTGTCATGCACCCCCGTAATTACGCCATTGCCTACCTGGGCTAAAGGGGTTAAAAATGAAAAAATCRCCTAGCCGAATCCACTGAGGATAAGAATATGGAATTTTGTCAGTAAGTTCATTTTATAATGCAAAAACTCTCTGATACAGGATTTTTTAAAAATTCAACCCCTACAGGGGTTAAAAGGGTTATATAATATAAAAAAAGAAAAATTGTTCGTTAGATCGGTTTATTCTCTGGAACTATTTAACTGATTTAAATTGTTTGTTTATTATATAGTTGCTATTGGTTGTACCTATAATTTAGTAAGGAAGAATAAGAATAAATTAGCAATTTGTTATTAGGTACCTACCAATTTTAAAAATTGTTCGTTAGATCGGTTTATTCTCTGGAACTATTTAACTGATTTAAATTGTTTGTTTATTATATAGTTGCTATTGGTTGTACCTATAATTTAGTAAGGAAGAATAAGAATAAATTAGCAATTTGTTATTAGGTACCTACCAATTTTATAAATTGTTTCACCTTTACAAAGCTAAAACTGCGATAGAAGTTTATGATTGAATATACTTTTAGTCCTGTATTTTAAATTACAGTGTTCAAATCTTTTGTAGAGATTTAGGTGGGGTAAATATAGGGTATATCGTATATAGGGTAAATTGACGGGAATTTGTCATGGGAAGTTTTGATCCTGACTAGCCGRGTATAAACGACAAATTAACCAAAMATTTTGAAACATATAGGTAATGGGTATTTTTAACGAGCAACGAGAAGTGCACGGCGCTCGGGGAACAGCTAGTATATTATATAATACTTATAGCTGTTTGATTGTATTTATTATTATACATTTATACTTGTCAATTGTTAAATAAGTTATACATTTATAGGTACCCATATAAGTGCCAAGTACTTGAACAATTGTTTATCCATATAATATTGATTGGATTTGTCAAATGCTCGCTTAATATGTGAAATACTTTTATAAGAAAAAGTGTAGAGTAAGTATACCAGATGTTGTATTTTTATCTATGATTTGCGCTSGTCTTTAATACTCGACATGTTTAATTTTAAATATTTTTAATAATATTTAATTTATATAATAATATGTATGATATAATATTATATTATACAATAACAATTTTTTCCATTTCAATTAAAAACAAACAATTCAACTTAAATAAGCCAGACATAAACTACAGGTTGTTGTTTAGGGAGCGAATTGTTATATAATCTATAGGTACTATAAACAATAATATAGTTTATKACGTCATGTGGTGATATAATATATTTTCATTTATTAAAGATAAAATAAAACATATTATTAAATTAATAAAAACATCAATAAAAATGAGATAAACATAATATTAGTAAAAAAATAAACAATAACATTCATGGGAATCTTCAAAGAAGAAGTAATCAATGAAAAATGTAAAAAAATCAACATGTATTGATTATTTTGAATTATTAATAAGTCCAAGGCTAAGTAAGTTAAAC